ATGTGTTTCAATGTGCTTTAATCTGATGAATCTAACAATTTATAATATAAATGTAAATAAGATAAACACTGATATTTTCAAATTAAGACATAAAAGTAATGGCTGTGGTGATGAGGGAACTTGTGACCTACTGTATTGATTAGAGCAGGACACTTGTAAATTATTTGGTTTAAATCTTAAGGACTGCAGATCTTGGTTCCTGAGCAAGAGCCTTAGTCCCCGAATGCTCTGCAACCCACTTTGCAGCAAGTGATTTAAAGTCGGAGGACAACTTTCAATTGAATTTATAAAGTTGAAGTGAGAGAATAAAATAAAACATTTTAGTCAAACCTCTCTAAAATAACGTTTTTGCTGCGATCACAGCTGCAACTTTTCTGGCATATGTCTTTACCTCCTTTGCACATCTAGAGACTGACTTTAAAAAAAAATCTATATATCTATATTTTTTGCATAACATCACAAGCTCTGTAAATCAGAGAAAATCATTTTTGGGGCATCACCATCATTTTCCCAAATTTGGGAATGAGTCTCAATTTGATTCAGGGTTTGATTTTGATTCAGCCATTTTATTATATGGATATTATTTGCTTTGAATTCTTTCACTGTTACACTGTTTCACTGTTGGCCGTATGTTTGGGTAGTTGTTCTGCCCACAGGTGAATTCTTGCCCGATTTTAAATTCTCTGGCTGTGCCCGAACGTCCGCCCTAACCCCTAGGTTCTTCAATCACTATATAGAGCGGGGACTATATTGTGGACTTTTAAGTGAACTCAGTTAACTGACCGTTCAGACAGATGATCCTACTTTTCACCCCCTGTTGGTCACATGACTACACCTCCCCACACAGTGCCTGGCCATCTTTGTTATTTCTCACCGCTGTCGGATAGCATGCTGCTGTAACAACAAATCGAGATAGCTCCTTGCAAAGAAGCTATATCTGCAGGATCCGAGATACATCTGTCGAGTGACCATGGATGATCATTACTTTTCAAGGTGCATTGTGGGAAATTTAGAGTCGACTACTTTATCATCCACTAAACATTTGGACACTCATCTGTAATGGTGTAACTACTAATAGTGCCCTTTATAGTTCCCTTTATAGTGATTGGGGGTGGACGTGGTGGACCTTTCCCTCAATGTGACAAATTTCCCTCATCTATGTGGAAAAAAATGTTTCTATTAAAATAAAGATGAAAACAAAATACAAATTATTGAATCACTGTTTTGCAGATGACTTCCAGATCTACTTATGAAATGCTTTTAATGCTGGGAGAACTTTATTGGTGATTAATGGATAAGAGCTTTTCTAGCAGTAGCTCTTAAAAACAGTCTCTCACAGTCTATAAGAAGCTTAGATGATGTTAAATCTCTTAAAAATTACCAGTTTTCTTGGGCCTCTCATTCAGGTGAGCTATAGTTACAGATCAGTTATGTTATCTTTGTTTTTTGTTTTATAGTTTTGTTTTACCCTGTTTTATTTCTCACACTTTTACTATTTTATTGCTTATTTGTTTAGGTAAAGTAGCTCTGTAACTTTGTGGTGTGTAATAAAGCTATTATACACAGAGATGGATTGATATGGAATCACAAATAGCTAAAATACTCCAGTAGTTTCATAGCTTATGAAAAATCCCTTAATATTTTACAAACCTATGCCAAGGTCAGCACCTTTTCTTGACATCTTGTCTGTCAGCCAAGCAGAGAAGTAAGGCCCCAGCCCTGCAAGCTGTGTGCTGGAGAACGCCGGACAGCTTGTGTCTGTCATGAACAGTTATGTGCACACTTCTGATTGCTTGGGAAGCAAGCCAAAGCTTGCTGCTGTGCCATGAATGTGAGGTGGTATGGATGAGATGTTGCTTGCAGAGAAGTGTGGAGAAAACAACATCTTTCAGGCCTACACACTGTGCCAGAACACTGCATATCCACATTTATAACAGATCAATTCTTTTTACTGAATCTTGTCTTATTTAGTCTCTATCATTTTCAGGGAACAGCAATGTACCTGTTTGTTGTCCTTTACAGTAAATGAGTTATATTGGAATACACGAGTATGCATTGGGTTTCATGTATGAGCTACTAGTTCAGCATCTTCTTCAGAATGGAAACCAATACTGTACTTGTGTGAACCTGGCTCTGAGACTCTGTTCACTTATTCCAAGTTGTATGCTTCTTATGAAAAAAAAAAAAAAAACAAAGGCAAAAAAAGCAAACATCCTGAAACTAAAACAAGTAATGCATATAATATCTTTGCATATGAGTCAATAGCATCTCAGCCTCCGGTGAATTTGGTTCTGACTATATAGAAAATATGAATCTTCAGAAAAGAGTTTTGCACTTTTCACCGAGGGAAATATCCAGTCAAATTCAAAATGAGCCCTCTAACTCCTGAGACAGAAAAACAATAACAATTTTAGGTAATAAACCAAAAAGTCAATTCTGCTTTATGTTATACAGAACAAGAATACATCCCCATTCATTTCTGTTCAAATATTATCAATGTTGCATCTTACGTTTTGAATAAGGTAAAAAAATAATTTCAGATTTTTTTTATAAGCATCATATCTGTTTTATTTTATAGAGCAAGTCACGACATCTTGTTTGAACTGCTTGCTAGCCAACCACAGTCGTTAATTATGAAATGAATGACCAAACCATCGAAAGTGCTGCACATAATGTGTGGAACATTTATCAATATTGGTTGTAAAAAAAAACTAAAAAAAAACTTTTTAAAGTACTGAAAATAGTAAAAATGTTAAATTCAACTATTTGGTAACAAGAGTAAATCATATTGTTATGCAGGATGTTAAAAATGATATTAAAATTTTATATTATTCAACTCCATTAGGGCTCAAATAATTGTCAAACATTATTTTTACTAAGATGTTATATTTGCACATTTGTTTACTTACTGGTCTTGTAACCTTTCTTTACTTATTGAACATTTATCTGCCCCATGTGCAAAGGTTCAATCTGCAGAATTTATGTATTATTGCACTTTAACAAACCACAGCAAATAAAAACTGTGGTAATAAAGTACCACAGTTATATGTAATAAAGTACATAAAAACCTTTCTTCTCCAAAATTGCCCAATGTTCTTTGGGTAAATAAAACCAAAATGTAAAGTTGAGTGCAGGCTGCTTAGATTCACAGCTAACTTGTGTACTCGTTATGAAAGCTACAAAGTCATACAGTTATTGAGTTAAATGAATTTAACTCAATAACTGAAGATGGCAAAGATCATCAGCGGTTATTTGGTTCACTCTGGTGTAATTATCTGTGTGTGTTTTGTTAGGTTAAGCATTTTCTATTTACTGTTCCAGGTTGTAGCCATATCCTGTAATGATGTCTCTATCTTAGTTTAGTTTTAGCCCATTTATGTAATTTTTTTGTTCATGAACTATCCTTTCTTCAAATCCTCCCTTTCCACCTCTGCTCTTATTTCCTTCCCTGTATCCTTTCCCTGGTTTCAGCCCACCTTTGTGTTGTGTAACCCCTTCTGTGCCTCCCATCCTTTCTCTAGTTTCTTCTCCAAAACCAACTTTTTTCTAGTCTCCCGTTGACATTTGAAGGAGAGTGGGGATTCACTCAGCTGACAAAGGGAGAGTCAATGACGTCACCGCAGGCATGATACACCAGCATCTGCACTGGTCTAAAAATACCCACCACAGGGCACACACAGCCAGTCTGCAGCTGCACTCAGCATTTATTTCCACCTCCACGCTCTACTGAGATGGCCCAGCTTTTACTCATCTGGGGCTTGTGGGCACGCTGGGCTACATGCTGCTTAGCTAAAACTTAACATCTGTGATGTGTTTGGAGCTCTGACTTAAAGAACATACATGTATGAGTGGTAGGCTTATTAAAGGAAACAGTGGAGCATGTATGGATTGTTTTGACAACATGTTTAAAATACTAATAGCAAATATACATTTTTGATATAGATATATGTTTATATATATCTATATATAATTGTGTGGGATTGCTGTAGGGTCAACATCAAAATGAACGTAAATATCTACTGTTGCCACATGCCCATCCACGACAGGTGCGTGACTCGATAGATTTAGTATTTTTTATCAATCTGACTGGATGATCAGATTGAATTTTCTCTGTAAAGTACCTTAAGGTGACATGTTAATTATATGTAGATAGATATGATCAATTGAGCACATTCTTCCAAGCCTTCTTAGTACATACAGTTAGTGTGATGCTTCTGCATTTTTAAAAGCTGAAATACAAACTATTATCAGTGGCTGTTGGATAATATCAGCAATTTGTTTTCATGTTACATCATTTTATTTATTTTCATAAAAAGGGATCGAGTAGTTCCCCCAAGTTTCCATAATTTGATGTGAAATATATGGTTATACTAAAGAATTTGTTTTTCATTTGCAGTGTTTTTATATATTAAACATGGTTTAGCTATTAATTGCTAAAAAAAATTCAATACACTTGTTAGATACAAGAGTGGTAATAACTTTTCTGTTGGTAATAATGCATTAATATTATAGTTTTTATAACCTGAGCAAATCAGGTATTAATAAAAGCATTACATATATTCCCCTAAGTGTGTTTATGCATTCATATATATCTTTTTGTATGATTTTTTCTTTTTAAATATAATACTAAAAAGTGATAATCCACTTTCTAGGTATGTGGATATAATGATAATAATAATAATAATAACACAAAATCTTGAAATTTCTCCTCATTTGTGCTTCATCTTCACCATCTTCTGTGCTCTTATTTTGACAGTTGATGCCCCTTAATCGTCTCTTTCCTTTTATGCTCAGGTTTAGAATGACAAAATACTAAACCATTACACCAAAAAAGTTTCATTTTAAAATCAACCCCATGTGTTCTGTAAACTTCCTGTACTGATTTGATGTATTTGAACATGTTCCTAAAACCAATGTTCATTTTCTGAATCTTTTTCTGTCTTCTCTCTGCCTGTGTGTTAATGTCTGTCCCATCTGTTGATGGTTTGGCATATAACTAGAGAAGTGGAACAGGCAAGTCTGTCAGACTTGGAGATCATCTCCCAGCCGGTGGAGGATGAGAACCAACGCCTGGCTCCTCCGGTCCAGCTGGTGAGCTTTGGCTACAGAGATCTGCCCCTTGCAGCTCTGGACCTGTCACTGGCCGGTTCTCAGCTGCTGTCCAATGCAGATGAAGACGAAAACCGGGAAGGGTAAGTTAAGGACTGTAATGTATATTTGGTAAAAGACAAGTGATGACATGTAGTGATCTGATATTGATTCATGCTCCTTGAAATTTCTTTTTCATTTACAAGACTCCATCCATCCATCCATCCATCCATCCATCCATCCATCCATCCATCCATCCATCCATCCATCCATCCATCCATCCATCCATCATTATTTATAGATTTTCGTTGTTAATGCTGATGTGGCGCTGATGTGACAAAATGTGAAAAAAATATATGAAAAGTTAAGGCCCTAGTAATCTTCTGTTAACTATTTTGCTATTTAAGTCTTTTTTTAAAGTTTTACTCCTAAACATTTAATTATGTTCTTTGTGTTATTATTGTATAAAAGGAACTAGATAACAACTTTTCCTTTGTCTAGCACATTTTCTTTAGCTGTTTACACTGACACTGCTATTTTAAGCACAATTTCCACACAAAGATATGCTGCAAAATCTTCTATCACTGATCAGCATCATGAGCTCTGGGTCCAATCCTGGTTTTACTGCTTTGTTTTTTGTTTCTTTGTATTTTTTTTCTTTGCACTTTAAAAAGCTGGTATTATATTAGGTGGATAATTTACCATTAGATTTCTTTTTAAGAAAAAAAATTAGACTTGCTAAACATTGCTAAACAAATATTTATCTCATCACAATGACCTGATTGCCCTCATTGCCTGTTGGCTAATTTTAGAAAAATCTAACGATGTTTTCATATTTTTTTGTGTAAATGAAGATGAAGTAATGGGATAACTATCCACAATTTAACAAGTGGGACTCTAAAGAGTTGAAGCATTGATAAGTCTGGAAACAAAGCTGGCCTGTTACTTTAATGAAGGCAAAATGTATTAATCATTTTTTCTTGCAGGTTAAAAATGCAGCATTCTCCTATATAACAGGTTCTAGTAATTACAGTGAAACGGCTCACTGAGCTGAAGTAGTGTTCAGAGCCTGTCATCTTTCCTCAAGGCGATTACATTGACTAAATTATCAGACTTTGGGAAAAACAACAGTAGCATGCCACTCATCCCCTGTCTTCCTTATCTACACATACAGCCCTGTTGAAGAGGTGACCACCTTTTAGTTTCCCAGAGTAGCCAGTCAGTGAAGAACCAGACTGATGTCTTCATCATCAGCAGTGCTCTGAAGAAACCTGAAGAGACAGCAGCACAGCTTGTGTCGGTCTTAGCAGAAATTTTTCAAAAGTTAGCTTGCAGGGGTCATACGGTGGATTAGCATTATTGATTTAACATGTCAGCACTGTATAATGACCAGATAAGGCATTTTTCAGCTGATCTTTTACAAATGTTATCAGAAATCCATTTAACTTCCCTTGAAAAGTCATGGCTACTATCATGCGTACTGCATTCATTTGTTTATGACGTAGATTCCTAACTGTTGCAGTAGTTCCTGCGGCTGTGCTTAGAAAAACTAATTTATGCTACAGATCAACCAGGAGCCACCCTCTCCAAAGAAATTTTGACTCATAATCCACTGCGTCAGTTCAGCGCAGAAAATGCAATACCATCATAGATAATGTGTTAAGGATCTGCAATACTCTAGGCTTGGTTTACTTCCGAAGAACTTGGTAACCTTGTTACAGCATGATGAACTCTTTGAAATTCACTAATCTTTAGATACAAATACTCTATGGTGGCCTCTGAGGATAAATTGTAATCATCTTTGGGCTCTTTATCATGTAATTAAGAACATTTTAACAAAACTAAATAGATTTGTTTTTAAAAAACGTTAAAAAATCAGTCTGGTGGACTGCTTTTTCAATTCAAAATGTTAGAAATGGCGTTAAGTTCGCAGCTTTATATAGTAGCCCAAAAACTTATTTTGGATTAGAAAATAACAACCCTAACACCCTAACGTAACATGGAAAACTTTCATGGTGGAGAGGAGAGGAGAGGAGAGGAGAGGAGAGGAGAGG